GCTCACCGCAACCTCCGCCTCCTGGGTTCAGGCAATTCTCCTGCCTCAGCCTCCTGAGTAGCTGGGATTCCAGGCACGCGCCACCATGCCCAGCTGATTTTTTGTATTTTTAGCAGAGACAGGGTTTTACCATGTTGACCAGGATGGTCTCGATCTCTTGACCTCGTGATCTCTTGACCGCTTCAGCCTCCCAAAGTGCTGGGATTACAGGCGTGAGCCACCGCACCCGGCCTATTCTCTCTCCTTAATGCTTTTTTGTTTTCTTTGAGACAGAGTCTCACTCTGTTGCCCAGGCTGCCTCTGCCTCCTGGGTTCAAGCAATTCTCATGCCTCAACCTCCTGGGTAGCTGGGACGACAGGCATGTACCACCATGCCTAGCTAATTTTTGTATTTTTAGTAGAGACAGGGTTTTGCCATATTGGCCAGCTTAGTTTCGAATTCCTGGCCTTAAGTGATCCTCCTGTCTTGGCCTCCCAAAGTGTTGGGATTACAGGTGTGAGCCACCATGCCCAGCCTCCTTAATGCTTACTCTTTGGGGAGTTACTAGACACTTGTAGAAACTATTTTGACTGCTGATGAAAGGCTCGGTATAATAGGGCAGTACTGTGTAGAGAGCTTCATGTTTTTAAATTTTTTCATAAACTTCTTGATGAGTTACTTAGTATTCATTGGGGGAGAAAAAGGCATAGTAGACCCCTTCTCTTTTTAACTCATGTATGTCTATGTGGTGGGAAAATAACCTGGCATTCAGGTTCGTTCTTTCCTTCTAACCAGGGAAACCTTTGTTTTTTATGCTATAAGCTGACAGCAGATCCCAGGTGCAGAGGGCACGCTATGAGGCAGCTAACTGGAAATACAAGTATGGCTATGAGATTCCTGTGGACATGCTGTGTAAAAGAATTGCTGATATTTCTCAGGTCTACACACAGAATGCTGAAATGAGGCCTCTTGGTTGTTGTAAGTATCCTAAGAAGTCTCCCAAATAATTGGTGAATTGTAACTTTTTATAGAACATGCATAGAGAAAGTTATTTCAGTAACACTTGAGTTCTGAACATACGGGTTAGAAATTATATAGGGTGGGAAAATCTTTTTAATCAGAGCTAAAGGATAGGTTTCACAACAGTATGTCAGACATTATCTTTAAGCTTTAGATGCTATTAGACTTTGTATCAACATATTTCCATTTGGAGTATGTGATTTGAAATATCCAAGTCCTGATTTTATTAGGATATTGTAATGAGGTTCTACTGCAGTTCCAGATTATTAATTCCATAGAAATGCCTACATCAGGCATCTTAATGTAGCTGTTTCTTTTGACCACCCTTAGGAATTAGGATCACACACCGGTCTGTGATTCACATTTTTAGAATAAATTTCTATTTTTGAAAACCAGTAAAATTGTATTGAGAGAGGGATGAGATTTACTGCTTTTTAGATGTAATGTAATAAATTAGCCTGAAAAATGTAATGCCTGTTTGTTTCTGGCATTGTGTCATTCATTCATGAGCATTAAAGCAGTCAGTGTAATGATTTCTGTTTAGCATCTGACCCTCTTGACTTCTTACTTAAAAATTACTTAAATCTTACTCATCTTGCAAGACCTTGGAGTAAAGAAGTATTTGTTGTTTCCCCAAGCAGTAAGTGGGCACCTTTTTGTGTTGCCCTCATACTTTGTATATATCAAATATAAGAAAGCAGTTAAACCGTTCCTAAAGTACTTTGTTAGCTGCTCTACTGAGTAGAAAGAAATTTAATGATGGTGTTTATTTTAATTTAATGCCTATAATATGGTAACACTAGAATTGTAGTGACAAAGTTACATGTGTAGAATTTAGAGCTTGGTTTGTATGACTTACTAGAGGAGCGTATACCAACAGTAACGAAGATGGGCAGTGTATAGGTGAACAGATAGCCTTAAGTGTATTGCAGTTTGTGCCAGCATTCCCAAAGTGTGTCCCATATACTATTCCCTGGAACTTTAATAGGTATTTCTTTTTTTTTTTTTTTGAAACAGAGTTTCGCGTTACCCAGGCTGGAGTGCAGTGGTGCGATCTCGGCTCACCGCAACCTCCGTCTCCTGGGTTCAGGCAATTCTCCTGCCTCAGCCTCCTGAGTAGCTGGGATTACAGGCACGTGCCACCATGCCCAGCTAATGTTTTATATTTTTAGTAGAGACGGGGTTTCACCGTGTTGACCAGGATGGTCTCGATCTCTTGACCTCGTGATCCACCCGCCTCGGCCTCCCAAAGTGCTGGGATTACAGGCATGAGCCACTGCGCCCGGCAATAGGTATTTCTTAAATTTAAAAAAAAGGTATTTCTATTTCTTAGTCAAACTGAAGAACTGAGTTAAATAGGTCAATCTACAAAAGAGTGTTTCAGAGTATTTAATATGCTATTATTTATTGTCTGTTTCCAGAAGAGGTATATGAAAGTGTCTTTGGGCCAGGCGCAGTGGTGTACACCTGTAATCCCAGCACTTTGGGAGACCAAAGCAGGAGGGATCACTTGAACTCAGGAGTTTGAGACCAGCCTGGGCAACATAGCGAGACCTCATCTCTAAAAAAGAAAGTGTTTTTGAAATGTATTTGACCAGGCAACATTTTAAAGGATTAGGGGTCAAATAAACATGCTTGGATAACAGCAAGGATTGGAAATCCTGTTTTTAAATTGTATTTGTAATTATTCAAACTTTTTTTTTTAATCTGTGATAAATCCTTTTGTGAAATGGGAATTTTTCTGTTACTTAAGTTACCTGTGGTGATATTTTATCAGTTTTCTTAAAGGAAAATACATATTCTAAAATTGATGGCCAAAGTAATGATTAGTAACAGCTATGTGACACAACCAAGAAAGAGGAGAAAAGATATTTAATTAGGGTCTTTCTCTCTTTTTAGGTATGATTTTAATTGGTATAGATGAAGAGCAAGGCCCTCAGGTATATAAGTGTGATCCTGCAGGCTACTACTGTGGGTTTAAAGCCACTGCAGCAGGAGTTAAACAGACTGAGTCAACCAGCTTCCTTGAAAAAAAAGTGAAGAAGAAATTTGACTGGACATTTGAACAGACAGTGGAAGTAAGTCAACCAAAAAGGAGCTAACCTTTTTTATGCTATGTACAACAGTGAGGATCTTTGCATAATTGACATTCTATAAATGCTATTCCTGAATTACATCACAAGAATCAAATTTGTCAACTTAATGAAATTGGTATCATACAGCTGACATAGGAAAATTTGGATTGCTTTTATTCATTTAATTCCTTATTTCATAATGTATTTGAGCTGGCTTTTAACAAAACACATAAAATAAGAAACTATAAATAAAAAGGAACCAGCTGGGCATGGTGGCACACACCTGTAGTCCCAGCTATGTGGATTTGCTTGAGTCCAAGTGTTCAAGCCAGTTCTCTTTACGGCAAAGAAATTAAAAACAAAAATTTTAGTAGATTTTGGGTGTAAGAGTCAGAGATTAAATCCATTCAGAGGACGTTAACATGCTTCCGATAAATGGCAAAAGAAAAATTACCATCTAATGCTTTTATGTTTGGTTTGGCGGTATGCCTAAAGGAGATACAAAGCTAGTTAATGTTCAGGAAGTACTGGGCTGTGTCTAAATGTTTCTTAGAGATTTTTTATTGCAATTCATAATTAGTTACATAATTAACCACGTCAGGTATATAAACACTTAAGGCCAGGCGTGGTGGCTCGGCACTTTGGGAGGCAGGCGGATCACCTGAGGTCAGGAGTTCAAGACCACCCTGGCCAACATGGCAAAACCCGTCTCTACTAAAAATACAAAAAATGAGCCAGGCATGGTGGCAGGCACCTGTAATCCCAGCTACTCAGGAGACTGATGCAGGAGAATCACTTGAACCCAGGAGGTGAAGGTTGCAGTGAGTCAAGATGGAGCCACTGCACTCCAGACTGGGCGACAGAGTGAGACTTCATCTCAAACAAAAAAAACCTTATAACATTCTTAAATAATTTTTACTGTAAATTCCTTGAAGGTGCAGAGTGTATCATTGATCTTTATTCTTTCCCCATTTCACCCCAAGTGCCAAGTGAAGAGTAGTGCCTGGGTCATGAAGCTAATAAACTGTTTTGTATAAATCATCCTATTTTGATTAATGGACCCCTTTAATTTATTATTTGACTTGGTAGAAACAAGTTTATCATTGGCAGGCGATACATTAGAGTTAAGCAGTCTGTTAGTAACATTGCACTGCCTCATTGAAATATGGAGCTCCTGATCGACTCATGATTTATATTGAATAAGCTAGAAATAAGAAAGAAAACCTTGGAATGTCTTAAAAAATACTCGATTTTAAAATTGATACTTTTTTTCAGACTGCAATTACATGCTTGTCTACTGTTTTATCAATTGATTTCAAACCTTCGGAAATAGAAGTTGGAGTAGTGACAGTTGAAAATCCTAAATTCAGGTGAGTTATATTGTGGGCCAAGTGCAGACTAGAAAGGTGGAGGCGTGTGAGTCCATTTGTCCTATAACTTGTGGGGCAAACTTTTTTACTTTTAAAAAAATTATTAATTTTTCTTTTTTCTTTATTGGTGCAAAAGTAACCTCCCCCTCCCACCCCCAAGCACCTGAGATGTTTTAAAACTTATTGGACTCTCTTTGAGAGTCAGATATGAAAGCTTTTCTCCTTATTTCAAAGTTGTATCTAACACCAAGTAACCTTTATGTAAGGAATAAAGAAAGAATAAGTGTTTCCTTTTTTTAGTTTAAGGCCAATACCAATTTAATTCCCAAAGTAGTAGGTGCAAGTTTTTCAGATAGAACTTTGGTTATTTAGTGGTTCTTTAAGTAGAACTGTGAGAAGCAGTATGAGCTACTGATTTATGTCAGACCCTTATCCGGAGATCTTTGGAAAGCCCAAATTTTGAATACAGCTAATTGACTTGCAGATGCTAGATGTGTGTATGTTCTTACTCACTACGTGACTAACTCCCACGCGTTAGCCTTATAGCTTCCATTATTCAAATCCATACTGAGTGGTTCACATAATCATCTTATTTAATCCTCCCAGCAGCCCTATGAGGCAGTTGATATACCATGGACTAGGATGAGCTTATATTTAACTGTAAAGAAAATACTACAGTGAAATCCACAGATACCAAGAACTACAGGAGACATTTTTTTTTCCCTAGCTTTTTTCCCCCTATAGAAAGAAGTCTTATAACTTGGGTGGTGGTAGGGATCAAGTTCCTTTTGAAAAAGGTATTTTGTTGTTTTTTAAGCAGTAAAATTTTAGCAGGAGTAATTTTAAAATTTTTCTAAAAAACCTACAGTTCTTGTTTTCTTTTCTGTTTGGAGAACTGCCATCTTTAAAATTTTATTTGCATTTGTTATTTCTAAAATTGGTAAGAAACCAAAAAATCTTCAAAATAAATTCTGTGAAAGTAAATAATAATCAGAATATATAACATAAGCATCAACTATTTAAATACTTAATATTGCCTTCAGTTGCACTAAAAAATGACCTTTTGACAAATTACACTTTGTAGAAGTCTAGTAGTAATATTTCACTTTGACAAGGTTGCCAAACAATTGATTCCATTCAAGGCAAACATCATTTAGAAAATACATGTTCCAGGCTGCACACAGTGGCTCACACCTATAATCCTAGCACTTTGGGAGGCCGAGGCAGGCAGATCACTTGAGGTCTGGAGTTTGAGACCAGCCTTGCCAACATGGTGAAACCTCGTCTTTACTAAAAATACAAATATTAGCAGGATGTGGTGGGGGCGCTTGTGATCCCAGCCACTCAGGAGGCTGAGGCAGGAGAATTGCTTGAACCCGGGAGGTTGCAGTGAGTCAAGATTGTGCCACTGCACTCCAGCCTGGGCAACAGAGCCAGACTCCATGTCAAAAGAAAGAAAAAATGTATATTAAACATGGAGCACTCTCTGGCTGGTAGACTATTCATGGAATGACAACTTTATTTTCATGAACTTCTGCTGAATCTGAACACTTTAATATGCTTAAAATTTCTCTGAATTTTTATCTTTGAGCTGACATAAACTTGAGTTATACTACATATAAATGCATTTTGACGGCCAGGCCCAGTGGCTCACACCTGTAATCCCAGCACTTTGGGAGGCCAAGGCAGGTGGATCATGAGGTCAGGAGTTCAAGACCAGCCTGGCCAATATGGTGAAACCCTGTCTCTACCAAAAATGGAAAAATTAGCCAGCTGTGGTAGCACACGCCTGTAGTCCCAGCTACTCAGGAAGCTGAGGCAGAAGAATCGCTTGAACCAGGGAGGCAGAAGTTGTGGTGAGCTGAGATCATAACACTGCACTCCAGCCTGGGCAACAGTGTAAGACTCTGTCCCAAAATAAATAAATGCATTTTGACATAGAAGCTAAATAGAATATGTATAATTTAGCTTTATTTATATTCCATTAAAATATTTTCTATCTTAGCTGCAGCTAAAGAATTTTAAGAGACAGTTCTAAATCTGTTGTCAAAGAAGTAAACATTTTTGTGTATAGGCGAAGGTGATATAATATCTGGGAGGATAAGTGTGTGTATGGATTTTTTAAAAATTGGTTTATAAATTGATAATTGTTGAAGGTCATAGGTATATGGGCGTTTATTATACTATCCTACTTTGCTTGAAATTTTTTTTAATAGTTTTTTTCCCCTTTTACCTTCTAGGATTCTTACAGAAGCAGAGATTGATGCTCACCTTGTTGCTCTAGCAGAGAGAGACTAAACATTGTCCTTAGTTTGCCAGATCCATGATGTCACTTACCTGTGTGTTTGGTAACAATAAACCAACATTACGGAGGTCCCTGGATTGAAAAACGAGCCTCTCCCATTCCTCCTACCGCCAAAATGGTTAGGACTCTATATAAATAAAAACAGTGCTTTTGGAAAATAATTGCATCCTGTTGTTTTCACCTCCTATTTTAAAATTTATTTTTGATATACGATGTACATATTATTTATGGGGTACAGTGTGATGTTTCAATACATGTATACATTATAATTATCAAATTAAGGTGATTAGCATCTCCATCACCTGAAACACCGTGTTTTTGTGGTGAGAACATTTAAAATTCTTTCCTAGCTATTTTGAGGTACACAATACCTTATTTTTAATTTTTAAATTTTTTTTTTGCTCACCTTCAAGTGTCTTGATCGAGTTGTATTATTTTTTGTTTTTTAAGACAGGGCCTTGCTCTGTTGCCCAAGCTAGAGTGCAGTGCCATGATCATGGCTCACTGCAGCCTTGAACTCCCTGGCTCAAGTAACCCACCTCAGCCTCCTTAGGAGCTGGTACTACAGGCATACACCATTGCACCCAGCTAATTTTATTTTTTGTACAGATGGGGTCTTACTATGTTGCATAGGCTGGTCTCAGACTCCTGGCTGACATTAAGCAGTCCCCTTGTCTCAGACTCCTAGCCGACATTAAGCAGTCCCCTTGCCTCAGCCTCCCAACATGCTGGGAATATAGGCATGAGCCATGGTTCCCGGACCCACAATACCTTACTGTTGACTATAGTCACTCTGCTGTGCAATAGGATACCAAATCAACCTCAAATTCCTGGAGGTAAGCAGTGCTGCCACCTTAGCCTCCCAGGTAGCTAGGACTATAGGCATGCATCACCAGGCCTGGCTGATTATCTTTTATAAAGATAAAAAATTGACATAGGGGTCTCCCAGTGTCACCAAGGCTGGTCTTAAACTCCTGGTCTCCAGCAATCTTACCTCAGGCTCCCAAAGTGCTGAGATTACAAGTGTAAGTCACTGCACTGGGCCCTTCCTCTCCAATTGCTACTTTTTAGCTGTTCACCAACTTCTCTCCATCCTTTCCACTACCACCTCCAGTCCCTGGTAACCACTGTTCTATTCACTACTTACAGATCAACATTTTTAGATTTGACATGTAAGTGAAAATGTGACATTTGTCTTTCTGTATCTGACTTATTTTCACATAATGCATTGTCCTCTAGGTTTATCCATGTTATAAATGACAGGATTTCATTCTTTTTAACAGCTGTGTAGTATTTGTGTATAGATATCACATTTTCTTTATCCATTCACTGTTGAACACTTAAGGCAATTATATCTTGGCTATTGTATATACTCCTGCAATAAACATGGGATTGCAGATATCTCTTCAACATATGGATTTCACTTCCTTTGAATACATACCAAGGAGTGCAATTGTTGGGTCACAGAGTAATTCTATTTAATTTTTTGAGGAACATTCATACTGCTTTCTATAATGGCTGTACTAATGTACATTCCCCTTAATTGTAAGGGTTCCCTTTTCTCCGCATCCTCATCAACACTAGTTACGTTTTGTCTTTTTGATAATAGTCATGCTAACAAATCAGGTGATAGCTCATTGTGGTTCACCTACAATTAAGTATTAAGCCTTTGGTATATGCAGACAAATATTCACCATCTAAACATTGTAGATTTGGTGGCGTTGACACCTATACAAGTTTACTTGGTTTAAGAAATTTCAGCCAGCACCAAGTGTGCTGTCTCGCACCTGTAATCCCAGCACTTTGGGAGACCGAGGCTGGCAGCTCATTTAAGCTCAGGAGTTTGAGACCATCCTGGGGAACATGGTGAAACGCTGTCTCTACCAAAAATGTAAAAACTTACCAGGGTGTGGTGGTGCACACCTGTGGTCCCAGCCACTTAGGATGCTGAGGTGGGAGAATCGTTGGAGCTCGGGGTAGAGCTTGCAGTGAGTGGCGATTGTGCCACTGCTCTCCGGCCTGGGTGACGAAAAGAAACCCTGTCTCAAAAAAAATAATTTATAGCCAGAAATGTAAACTGTAGCTATAGGATATAATTAAATAACAAACGACAACTTTGGTTTTGAAATCTCTGGCCAGGTGCTCTGGCTCACACCTATAATCCCAGCACTTTGGGAGGCTGAAGTGGGAGGATTGCTTGAGGCTAGAAGTTTGTGATGAGCCTGGGCAACATAGCAAGACCATCTCTACAAAAAAAAAAAGAAAAAAAAAAAAAACTTTGCTTAATTAGTTGGGCATGATAAGCCTGCACCTGTTGTCCCAGCTACTTAGGAGGCTGAGGCAAGAGGATCACTTGAGTCCAGGAGTTGGATACGGCAGTGAATTGTGATTGTGCCACTGCACTTCAGCTTGGGTGATAGAGCAAGACCCTGTCACCAAAAAAAATTTTTGACTGTAAGTTGGCATGTGAAGCAAGGCCTTTTACAATTCCTCATTCAAACGGTGTTACTGAATGTGAACTCCAAGTCCCATTGGATGTTTTAACTATACAGTAAAAGGATTAGTATGATCTTTAGTAGTTTTGAGAAAAACAGTAAGAACCAGCATTTTCAAGAGTAGAAACTTATTTACCTTGAGGAAACAGGACTAGAAAAATCGTAGAATGTATGCATTTTCTGTGCCTCCTTAATAATAAATACTTGAAGGTGACATTAAGGAATTGGTTTATATTAAAGTTTAGAAAACCACCATCACAATGTTAAGGAAAAAGAGAATAAACCATATATTCATAGTAACCTATGTTTTTAAATGTACAGGATTTTTCAAAATCCCAGACTGGCGACCTGAGCCACTGATTAGAGATGATTTTAAAATCCTGGAAATTTAAAAAAAAAAAAAAAATCTTGGAAAGTCTAAGGCTAATACATTTTATGCCCTGTTTTGCACTGAGCAAGTCTGGTGCTGTTGACCTGCAGGTGAGTGTGGCTGCTGGTCTCATGCCAGTTGAAGTAAGAGTTGCCCCTGTTTCTGCAGCCACCAGGCCCACACAACGGGAGGGCACCACCAGAAGCAGGAAACTTCACCAACCACATCCTCTTCAGAGCTGTCAGGATTAGTAAAGTTTCCTAACAAGGAAGCAAGTTTCTTCCAGTTCAGAGATTATTGTTCTGGGACCACCCATCTGAATCTACTAGGCTAATCCTCTAAAGACAAGCTGATGAATTTCCCCACCCTTAGAGCCTTGACTGATTCCACCCTCCTAGAATCAGTGGATGAGAGACTAGCAAATAATTCAGTTTTTATGGTTAGAGGATCCTTTTAGGGGTAAAAAACTAAAATTCTGTAATTTGTTAAGTAAGTTTTTACATTATAAGGCAAAATCTAGATGAATTAAGATTAAATATAGAATAGTTTTAAATATTGGTTATTTATGCTTAAGTAAAAGAATAGAAGGAATAGGAAAGGTCAATTCAAATAGGTGAACATTAGGCTGGGTGCAGTAGCTCATGCCTATAACCCCCAATACATTGGGAGGCCAAGACCAGCGTGGCAGTAACATCTTGTCTGTACAGAAATTTTTTTTTAATTAGTCAAGTGTGATAGTGCTCACATACCTAGAGTCCTGGCTACTTGTGTGGCTGAGGTGGCAGGGTCACTTGAGCCCAGGAGTTGAAGGCTGCAGTAAACTATGATGGCAACGCTGCACTACAGCCTGGGTGACAGAGCAAGACCCCTTCTCTAAAAATGAAAATAAAAGAGTGGACATTAAATACTCTATGTTTCTTGTTTTGCTTTTTAAACAAACTGCCTGGGATGGATAAAAAGGGTTAATGCAGAAAGGTTATACAAAATACCAAGAAAAATGCCTGAAATCTTAAATGTCTTTACCCAAAGAACATTTTGATTAGTAAGAAATATAAGAATACAGGCCGGGCGCAGTGGCCCACACCTATAATCTCAGCACTTTGGGAAGCCAAGGTGGGCAGATCACTTGAGGTCAGGAGTTCAAGACCAGCCTGGCCAACATGGCAAACCTTGTCTCTATGAAAAAATACAAAAATTAGCCAGGCGTGGTGGTGCACACCTGTAGTCCCAGCTACTTGGGAGGCTGAGGCAGGAGAATCGCTTGAACCTAGGAGGCAGAGGTTGCCGTGAGCTGAGATCCTGCCACTGCACTCCAGCCTGGGCAATAGGCGAAACTTTGTCTCAAAAAAAATAAATAAATAAAAATAAATAAATAAATATATATATATATTTATACACACATACACATACACAGAGATATAATTTTTTAAATATGAGAAATATAATTCCGACACTCAGAGGGATATGTCCAGACATTGATGAATGTGAAGCTAATTGGGTAGACACGAGGCTTTCCTTCTCTTGATACCTCATTTTTCATAAACAGTATTGTTACTGTACCATTTAGGTTACAAATCAACAATGAACCAGGTGTTCAGTTCCCTCACTAGCCTCCAAATCCAAGATCCAGACTTGTGCCACAACCGAATTACTACATTAAGGATCTTCACACAGGGCCACATACCTGTAGTCTAGCTACTCAGGAAGCTGAGGTGAGAGGATCACTTGAGCCTAGGAGGTCGAGGCTGTGGTAAGCTGTGTTCACGCCACTGCACTCCAGCCTATATACTGTATTTTTTTTTATACACACACACACAAAAACAATGGATAAAAATCATGAAGGGAAAAAATCTGGGGGACAAAATGAGACCCATCCTTTCTAAAAAAAAAAAAAAAAGAATCAAGGCTGGGCGTGGTGGCTCACGCCTGTAACCCAAGCACTTTGGAGGCCAAGGCGGGAGGATCACCTGAGGTCGGGAGTCCAAGACCAGCCTGACCAACATGGTGAAACCAGTCTTTAAAAAAAAAAAAAATCAGGCCGGGCGCGGTGGCTCAAGCCTGTAATCCCAGCACTTTGGGAGGCCGAGGCGGGTGGATCACAAGGTCAAGAGATCGAGACCATCCTGGTCAACATGGTGAAACCCCGTCTCTACTAAAAATACAAAAAATTAGCTGGGCATGGTGGCACGTGCCTGTAATCCCAGCTACTCAGGAGGCTGAGGCAGGAGAATTGCCTGAACCCAGGAGGCGGAGGTTGCGGTGAGCCGAGATCGCGCCATTGCACTCCAGCCTGGGT